CATACAAACTACCAAAACTGCAACAGAAAGAAATAGGAAACTTGAAAAGACCCATAACCAGCAAAGAAATTGAATCATCTATCAAAAATCTCCCAACAAACAAGAATCCTGGGCCTGATGACTTCACAAGCCATCTATTCTTCTCAAACTGTCAGCAAAGTCACAGGATATAAAATCAACTTGCAGAAATCTTTTGCATTTCTATACACCAAAAATGAAGCAGCAGAAAAAAAAAACTGCTGGATAAGAAAACTATACAAAGCAAAAATTTCCTTCAGAAATTAAGGAGGGTTAAAGACATTCCCAGATAAATACAAGCTAAATGAGTGCATCACCTCTAGACCTGTCTTATAAGAAATCCTATAGGGAGTTCACCAAATTGAAATGAAAGGACAATAACTCATGAAAACATAAAAGTATAAAATGCACTGGTAAGTGTAAATATATAATCAAATTCATAATTCCCTAATACTGTAATGGTGGCAAAATACTTTTATCTCCACTAAAAAGTTAAAAGATAATAGTATTATAAAGTAAATATTACATAATTTGTTAAAGGATGCACAATATAAAAAGATGCAAATTGTAACATTAATAGTACAAAATGTGGGGGAATTAAATGAGAATTTAAAATGTAGAGCTTTAGTATATGATTGAAGGTAGGTTATTATCAGCTTAAAATAGATTATTACAGGTGATGAGTATTAATACCAGGTGTTGTATGGAAGTGTCAATCACTGTATTGTACACCTGAAAATAACATTACACTGTATGTTAACTACTAGAAGTGTAAACAAAAAGTTAAAAAAATAAAAATAAAACTACTTTACAATCCAATAATCGCATGACTAGGTATTTACCCAAAGAATACAAAAACGCTAGTTTAAAGGGATACATGCACCCTGATGTTTATTGAAGCATTATTTACGATAGCCAAGATATGGAATCAGCCTAAGTGTCCATCAAGTGATGAATGAATAAAGAAGTGGTATATATACATATATACAACAGAATATTATTCAGCCATAAAAAAGAATGAAATCTTGCCACTTGCAACAACAAGCTCAGCAAAATAAGTTAGACAGAGAAAGACAAATACCATATGTTTTCATTCATATGTAGAATTTAAGAAACAAAACAAACAAGGAAAGGAGAAAAAATAAGAGATAGTCAAAGCAAGAAACAGTCTTTTAATTATAGAAAACATACTGATGGTTATCAGAGAGGAAGTAGGTGGGGTTATGGGTTAAATAGGTGATGAAAATTAAGAAGTGCCCTTTTTGTGATGAGCCCAGGGTGATGTATGGAACTGTTGAATTACTACATTGTATACCTAAAACTATTATCACACACTGTATGTTAACTAACTGGAGTTAAAATAAAAACTTAAAAAATAGACTATTATATCTATTATATCTATAAATTTTTTTATGTAAGCCTTATAACAATCACAAAGAAGAAACCTACAGTGGCTACACAAAATATAAAAAGAAACAAATTAAGGAATGGCACTACAAAAAATAAATCACAAAAGAAGAGAGTAAGAAAGGAATAAAGGAAAAAAAGAACTAAAACAAACAAACCAGGAAATGATTAACAAAATGGCAATAGAAAGTCCTTTTAACTATCAATAATTACTTTAAATGTAAACGGATTTTTTCCAATCAAATTTCTATTGTAGAACCCAACAATAAGCTGGCTATAGGAAACTCAAATTACCTTTATGGACATGCAAGGGCTGAAAGTATAGGGAAGAAAAAACTATTCTATGCAAATGGTAACCAAAAGTATACAGGGTTTGCTATACTTATGTAATATAAAACAGACTTTCAATTAAAACAATCACAAAAAAAAAAAGGTCAAGAAAATATAACACTTGTAACTACACATGCATGAAATATTGGAATGCCTAAAAACTTAAGTAAATATTGACAGACCAAAGGGATAAACAGACAGCAATTCAATAATAGTAGAGGACTTCAATACCCTACTATTGACATTGGACAGAGCAATCAGAATGAAAATTAGTAAGAAAATAGCAGGCCTGAATAAAACTATAAACCAAATGGACCTTAAGGACATATATAGAACATTATGTCCAATAAGAACAAAATATTCTCAAGCACATGTGGAACATTCTCCAGGACAAAACATATGTTGGTCCACAAAGCAAGTTTTATGAAATTTAAGGAAACTGAAATAATATCTAATATCTTTTCCAAGCACAATGTTATGAAACTTCAGAGAAAAAAAACTGAAAAATCCACAAAATGTACAATTTAACATCATACCTGAACTAATGGACCACAGAAGTAGGAAAAAAGGAAATCATAAAAAGTATCTTAAAATAAACAAAAACAAATACAAAAAACAACATACCAAAACATATGCGATATAGCAAAAGCAATTCTAAGAGGTAAGTTTACAGCAATAAATGCCTATATTAAAAAAAATCTCAAATAACCTAACTTTACCCTAAAGGAATTAAAAAAGGAAAACAATCTAAGACCCAAGTTAGTAGAAGAAAGGAAATAAGAAAGATCAGAGCAGAAATAAATGAAATAGAGACCAGAGAGACAATAGGAAAATAATAAATTAAACCAAGAGATGGATTTTGAAAAGATAAACAAAATGGCAAAACTTTAGCTAGACTACTCAATAAAATAAAATTATGAAAGAAAAGAAGAGACACTGAAATTGATACCATAGAAATACAAAGTATCATTAGAGACTTCCATAACAATTATCCACCAACAAATTGCATAACACTACAAGAAATGGATAAATTCCTAGAAACAGGCAATCTATCAAAACTGAATCAAGAAGAAATGGAAAACTTGAACAAAGTAATCACAACTAAAGATATTCAGTCTGTTATCAAACTTCCTAACAAATAAAAGAACAGGACTAGATGGTTTCACAGGTGAATTCTATGAAATATTTAAAGAATTAATGTTAATTTCTCTCAACTCCCCCAAAAATTAAAAAGGAAAGAACTCTCCCAAACTCATTTTACAAGGCCAGCTTTACCCTGATCCAAAGACAGACAAAGACACTAGAAGAAGAAGAAGAAGAAGAAGAAGAAGAAGAAGAAGAAGAAGAAGAAGAAGAAGAAAGAAAGAAAGAAAGAAAGAAAGAAAGAAAGAAAGAAAGAAAGAAAGAAAGAAAGAAAGAAAGAAAGAAAATTACAGGCTGATATCCCTAATGAACATAGATGCGAACATTCTCAACAAAATATCAGCACACCAAATTCAACAGCATGTTAAAAGTTTCATATATCATGATCAAGTGAGGTTTATCCCTGGGATGTAAGGATGACACAGAAAGCAATAAACATAATACACCCCCATTAATATAAATAAGGGTAAAATTCATGTAATCCTCCAAAGAAATGAAGAAAAAATATCTGACAAAATTCAACACACTTTCATGACCAAAGTTCTCAACAGTTTGGTATAGAGCAAATGTATCAATATAATAAAGGCCATATATGACAAGCCGTAGCTAACATAATTTTCAATTGTGAAAAGTTGAAATCTTTTACTGTAAGATCAGGAACAAGACAAAGTTTTTCTTTCTTACTACTCCTTTTTAACATAGTACTAGAAGTCCTAGCCAGAGGAATTAGGCAAGAAAAAAGAAATAAAAGATATCCAAGTCAGAAAGGAAGAAATAGGGGCACCTGGGTGGCTCAGTCGGTTAAGCATCCGACTTCAGTTCAGGTCATGATCTCACGGTCTGTGGGTTCAAGCCCCACATCAGGCTCTGTGCTGACAGCTCAGAGCCTGGAGCCTGCTTCAGACTCTTTGTCTCCCTCACTCTCTGCCCCTCCATGCCCTCCTTCTCAAAAATAAACAAACATTAAAAAAATTGTTTTTAAAGAAAGGAAGAAGTAAAACTGTGGGGAAAAATGGAAAGATGTTGGTCAAGGGTACACATTTTCCGCCATAAAATGAATCACTATGGGGATCTAATGTACAGCATGGTAACTATAGTTAATAATGTATTGTATATTTGAAATTTTCTTTGTAAATGTTAAATATTTTTGCTATGTAAAGTTGTAGATGTGTTAACCTTATTGTAATCATTTCACAATATATACTCGTATGAAGTAATTACATTGTGCACCTTAAACTTACACAATGTTATATGCCAATTACATCCCAATAAAGTTTGGGAACAAAATTTTAAAAAAAATTTTTAATGTTTATTTTTAAGAGAGAGAGACAGAGACAGAGCATGAGTGGGCGAGGGGCAGAGAAAGAAGAAGACACAAAATCTGAAGCAGGCTCCAGGCTCCAAACTGTCAGCACAGAGCCCCATGTGGGGCTTGAACTTAGGAACCGTGCCATCATGACCTGAGCTAAAGTCAGACATTTAACCAACGGAGCCACCCAGGCACCCCAGGAACAAAATTTTAAAGATAAAAGCATATTCTTACTCCAATCCTATCTGAACATCTGCCATTTACTTTTTTCATAGTTTGCTTCTTTTTTCTTTATATTTCCAGTTAATTTTTCTGGGTGTGGGGCAATTTCAGGGATTCTTTAAATGCTTTAAATAAAGAGCACCTAATTAATTGTAACAATAACTGAACTGCAAAGGAACAGAAGACTTTACCAGAAGATGGTAAAAAGAATTTACCTAACAACAATAACAAAAAAAATCTAATCTAACTTCTTGACCCCATGTAAGGTAGGGTGTTAAAAAATAAGACCTTACTAAAGTGGGTTGCTTCAGATGTATGTTGATCATAGGAATGTCTCAACAGGTACAAGAAAGATTTGTAACAGTTGGGAAAGAAGAATCATCAGGCATATGTACATGAGACTTCTGGAAATGACAGATTACCAAATGGACTGAAGTGTAAGAAGGGTCCAGTGTACTTGGATATAATACAATGGGAAAGGCAGATAGGATATTGACATACTTCCCAGCTCTTTGAAACAGTATTTCAAGAAATTTAATGCTGAGCTACTCTAAAATAGATTGCCTCTTACCTTGCAATCTTGTGTGCAACATTCCCCGGAGCCACACTGTTTATTTGCTTTCATTGAACATGTTTTAGGATCACAGCAGTCTTTATGTGTACAATTCTGTAAACAAATAGACAAATTCGAACTGTCTCTTCTGACATCAGTTATGATAATTTATCTTTTAAATCATACAGAGAAAGACAGATACCATATATTTTTACTCTTATGTGGATCCTGAGAAACTTAACAGAAGACCATGGGGGAGGGAAAGGAAAAACAAAGGTTAGAGAGGGAGGGAGCCAAACCATAAGAGACTCTTAAAAACTGAGAATAAACTGAGGGTTGATTGGGGGTAGGAGGGAGGGGAAAGTGGGTGATGGGCATTGAGGAGGGCACCTGTTGGGATGAGCACTGGGTGTTGTATGGAAACCAATTTGACAATAAATTTCATATTATAAATAAATAAATAAATAAATATTTTTAAAAAGCAAAAAAAAAAAAAAAACTTGCCAATTTCACCTAAATTGTCAAATTTATTTACATAAAGTAGTTTTTAATATTCTTTACGTACCCTCTTTCATTACTGATACTGGGAATTTCTTTCTTTTCTTCATTTCTCTTTCATCAGAACAGCAGGAGATTTATCAAATATATTGATTATTTTCAAAGCACTGGCTTTATTTTCATTGATATTCATTTTCTGATTTCTAGCTCATTGATTTCTACTTTTATCTTTATCATTATTTCCTTCTACTTATCATGGATTTAATTGGACTAATATTTTAGTTACCCGAAGTAGCATTCTTAATCATTGATTTTAGACCTTTCTTCTCTCCATTATAAGCATTTGTAGCTATAGATTTTCCTCATAACACTATAATTCAGTTTTAACTGAATCTCATAGATTTCGATGTTATGTTCAAATTTTCATAACTGTTAAAAATATATCCTAATTGCTTTTGTAATTTCTTCTTTGAGCCAAGAGCCATTTAGAAGTGGTAGCTTAATTTCTAAATATTTGGGAACTTTTCAAGATATCTTATTATTCTTGATTGCTAATTTAATTCTCAACAAAAAATATTTTGAGATTTATTTCATGTCACAAAATGTAGTACATCCTGATGAATATTCCAAGTTCCCTTGAAAGTAATTTTTATATTAAGTTATTAAATATAGTGGCCTATAAATATCATTATATTAAGGTGGTTGGTAGTAGTATTATTCAGGTCTTCTACATCCTTACTGATATTTTTGTCTAGTTGTTCTATCACTTACTAAGAGATGTGAAATAAACCTCCAAATAAGATAGTGCTTCATGAAATTTGAAGATCTACTGTGTGTGTGTACATGTAGATATATTTTTATAAGTGTATACATATTTATTATTGTTATAACTTCCTTATGTATTTATCCTTTTATAATTTTGAAGCATTAGTATATCTCTATTTTATATATTAATATAGCTCTTATTAGCTCTCTTATATTTACTGTTTACTTGTTATATCCTTTTCCATTCTATTATTTTCTGCCAAACAGAGCATTTGGGCTTAAAATATATCTCTTGTCTCTTGATTTTTTTGTAGTCTGATAATCTCTGGCTTCTGATCAGAGTGCTTGGCCTATTTACATTGAATGTAACTATTAATATTTATGTATTTCAATTTGTTATTTTACCATTTGTTTCCATTTATTTCATCTTGTTTTTGTTCCTCAATTCTTCTCTTCTTGTCTTATTTTGTGCTGATGAAATATGTTTAGCATGTCATTAAAACTCCTCTCTTGGCTTTTTAGCGGTATCTCTGCATAATTTTTCAATATTTGCTCTGGGATTTATAGTATGTATCTTTCAAATACTCTAATCTACTTAGAGTTAATACTGATTTTCTTCACGTAAATAATAGAAATCTTGCAACAGCTTATTTCACCTTCCACATTTAGTGCTGCTGCTGTTATTGTATAGATGTAGATATGTAGATACACACACATATACACATAATGTGTATATGTACATATATATTTGTGTGTGTTTATATGCATATAAACATATATGCATCCATATCCACAAACATACCCATACATATTTGTATATTTAGTATATATACATACAAATACATATTTATAGGCACATATATGTATTGTATCACTTATGCAGTGAATAAGTGTGTATACATTTACATATCTGTGCATGTATATAATGTAGTCAGTAAAATTAAGAGCAGAAAAGAAAGCATACATATAACTACTTATTTTTACCCACATATTTACCAATTCCTGTGTTCAGGAATTTTTAATTCTTCAAACATTTTAAATTTTTAGGATATTATGTAGTACAAGTTTACTGTGACATATTGTCTCAGCTTTTGCTTAACTGAGAATAACTTTATTTGCTTCCATTTTAAAGGGTAATTACTTTGAATCTAGAAATCTTGATTGTTGACCTTTTTTTTTCTTTCATCACTTTTTGTTATTTCAAAGTCTACTGACCTCCATTATTTGTTATAAGAAGTCAGCTATATTTTGTATCACTGTATTGTGTATCTAACCTGTTTTTTTTAGGCTGAAATTAAGTTTTTCTTTTTATCTTGGGGCTTTGGGAGGTTTTACTCTAAGTATAGAGGTGGGGTTTTTTGTGTCTATGTGCTTGTAGTTTGCTGAGCATCTTGGATCTGTAAGCAAACATTTTCCTTCAAATTTGAAAAATAATCAGCATTATTCCTGCATATTTTTTTCTGCCGCCTACTTTCTCTTTTCTTTATCTTGAAATCCAATTACACCTACATTGGACCACTTAATATTTCCTTTCAGGTGGACTCAGTTGGTTAAGCGTCCAACTCTTGGTTTTGGCTCAGGTCATGATATCACGATTCATGGGTTCAAGTCCTGTATTGGGCTCTGCACTAACAGTGTGAAACCTGTTTGGGATTCTCTCTCTCTCCTTCGCTCCCTGCCCTTCTCCAGCTCGAACTTTCTCTCTCTCTCTCTCTCTCTCTTTCTCAAAATAAATAAATAATTTTTAAGAAAAATGTTTCTGGGGTGCCTGGGTGGTTCAGTTGGTTAAGTATCTGACTTTGGCTCTTGGAGCCTGGAGCCTGCTTCGGATTCTGTGTCACTCTCACTGCCCCTCCCCTGTTTACAGTCTGTCTGTCTCTCTCTCCCCCTCAAAATTAAATGAATAAACATTAAAAAATTTTTAAGAAAAAATAAGAAATATCTACTCTCAGGTGTCTGAGGTTTTTTGCTATTTTTCTTCAATTTTTTTTCTCTCTATTCTACAGATCATATTTTCTTAATGTTCTATTGGTCAAGTTCATTGATTACTCTGCTTTTGGTCAAGTTCACTGATTCTGCTTTTGTTGTACTTTTCACTTCTAGACTTTAAATTTATGTGGTTTTTGTAGTTAACTTATATCTGTTGAGATTCTCTAGCTGCTCACTTACTATGATAATTTTTCCTTAAATGGTTTGAGCATAATGTCCTTTCATTTTCCTAATATTCAAAATAACTACTGTGAAGTCTTTATCTGCAAAATACAATATATTTGGACTTCTCAGAGTCAGTTTCCCTTAACTGCGTATTTTCCTAAATATGGTTCACATTTTCCTAATTTTCTGAATGTCTATTAATTTTTTATTAATAAGTTAGACAATATAGATACAATGATATAATGCCCATATTCAGCTGTGACCTTCTAGAGGCTTTTTTTTTCTAACAGGAAATTAAGTAACCTGGAAACAAACTGTAAGTTTTATTTCCCCTACAATGTACCGCAGCTATCTTTGCTCAATTCATATGGCTTCCAACTGCTGAATTTTTAGCCAGATTCCCTGATGTAATGTAGCATTCATGCAAGGATTTAGGCAGAGACAGTACTTAGATTTCAGGGTATAATCTACCTGTAATTGCCTTGTTTCTGAAGATTCCTCTTTAATTTCCAGTTGTAGCCAGTCTCAGGCTCTACATTCTGATAAATGAAACCAGTAGGGCTTTGGATTTCTGCTGCCTGAATTGCACATGGTTAGAAAATATTCTCTCAAAAAAAATCATCGAACTCACAGGGTTCACCTGGTGCACCGGTGTCTTTCAATGGTCTCACCCTGCTTTTTTCCTCCGTGGGGTATTTCTGGACTATGCATATTTTAGCAGTCAGCCAAATATGTGTAAAATTAGTCATCAGATTTTAGGTTTTAGCACTTTCACAGTTGTCTTATTTTCAGGGTTTTCCCCTTAAATTTCCAGTGATTCTCATCCCTGAAATCTGTTTTCTGTCACACCGAGTCAGTAAAGCTGCAATTTTTCACAGCTATTTCATTCTGCCACAACTGTGGAAGTAGAGGAGCACCCAAGACTAGGAAAAAATAAACTCACAATTCTTATCTGTTCCAGCTGCAATTTTTCAAGAGTAAACTCTCCTCTGGCTTCTTTCTTTTAAATGTGTTCCAGTGCCATTAAATACACACACACACACACACACACACATACACATACACATACACACATATATAGTAAATATAAATATGTCTATATATAATGTATTACATATTTTTACATATTGTATATTTAATAAAATTAATATATATTTAATAATATGTTCCATATTTTACAATTGCTGTTTCATTTTATTATCCTATGACTACTTCACTTTGTTGTCAATGCTTCCTCTATCATCTTTCATCTTTCTTTGGGTTTGGTTCTATATTTATATATTTTCTACAGGTGATAGATTTTTTAAAAAATACTTTTAATTGACATCACCTGCCAATAGCACACTTTTCACTCTATATTAGCAAACAATGCATTTTGCTATGCCATTGGTAATAGTCTATGGTCTTTAGATATTCCTGTTTTTGTTACTGCTTGATGTTAAAAGTATATTTCTTCAACTCTTTAGACACTCTTTGTGGTAAGTAATTATTTTGTTTGGAGTTGATGCATACACTAAAGAATGTCAGAAGGTAAATATTATCTAAAAGGCTTTTGCTGTCCACTTTAAAAAATAGCAAAATTAGGAAACTTAAAAGCTTCCATCTTCCCCAAAGAAGGTCTTTTTAAATTTATTTTTCTAAAAGACAAGGTCTTCATCTTCTTCTTTTCTATTACACACATATACAGGAAATTTTAAAAATTGAAAAAATTTCTACTAACCTTTACAGTGCCACAATCACACTGTTCACCCTGTTCCAATTGTCCATTGCCACATGTCCTTTTCTTTTGTTGTTTATAAACTGGCATTTCAGGAAGGATTCTCTGAAGACATCCAAGGCCGGAATGTGAGGCCAAGTATTTAAAGTCATCCAACGTACAGGTGCTAAAATCCTTTACACCCCGAGACTGCCTAAAATATTTTAAAAATGGGTATGACAAAAATTATTGCTGTATATCTCTGCATTTCCACTAATGTATGATGTTTTAGAAAGATATTTAAAAAGCATTATGGGAAAAAAAGCACATTTTGAAAACTATTCATTGCATTGATAATATGTTTTACCATATTTTTAAAATTTCACCATGAAAATTCTTGGAATGAAAAAAAAATCCAAAATCTTTTCATTGCCATTCATCCTGTTTTAAACAAGATGTGTTATTTACCTGTCTTATGACATTTATTAAACCTTTAAACATAAGAACTGTGTTCACTTTATTTACTTTGCCAATGCCAAACAATTGAATTTTAAATGTTTAGCCTCAGTATTTAGCACATTTTTTATTTTTTTTAATATGTCTTGCATTTTTCTTGTAATGCCAATATAAACATGTTTGCATTAACTTAAGTACATATTAGGGCTTTTGTTCAACATAATTAAACATTTTTCAAATAAAAACCTGTGGTTTGAGCTACACAATGGGAGGGGCACCATAAGTACCTGTCTTGACAGTGAGAGAGCTGTTAGCTAGTAATAGCTCTCTAGTAATAGCTCAGCATCCAACTAAAACACTATAAAGAATCTGACTTAAGAGTAAAGATTATGTCCTAGACCAGGGGGTGACAAGCTTTTTCTGTAAAGGGCCAGGCAATAAATATTATAGACTAATATGCCATAGACTGTGGTACAACTACTCAACTCTGCCACTGTAGTACAAGAGCAACCATAAACAATAGGTAGAACAATAAGTCTAGCTGTATTTCAACAGAATTTTATTTACAAACGGGCTACCACCGAAATTAGCTCGGGGATGGTTGTTTGCTGACCTCTGCCCTAACTAGAATCTACTCTATCTCAATTCCAATAGAGCCTAAATTCAAACCCTGACAAGATCCCCAGAAGAGAGTGAATTTGGAAGTTCAATCCGGCCAAGTTATAGGGGTTTTAAAATAACCTGAGCTTTCTATAGATCCATATTAACAAAGTGTAAAACCAAGCATATAAAATTCAATATAATTAGCCAATAATTGAATTTCCAAGAATCAATGCTTTTCAGAGGAAGGTAGGAGCATCCAAGCTTTCTATTGTATTATCAAAAATATCTAATATGCTAATAATAATAATAACAACAACAGGAACACAAAGAAATAAAAAATGTGATCCATAGTCAATGTAAAAAAAAAAAGCAGTCAAAAGAAATCAAAACTGAGATGGTCCAGATGTTACGATTTGGCATACAAATACCTAAATTAAAGCACTATAAATATTCAAATAATTAAAGAAAAATGTTTACATAATTCAGAGTCATAGATTCAATACTCAAAATAGAGCACAACTAATTCAATTTACATAAAGTTCTGAAGCAAGGAAAACTAATTGTAGTAATAAATCAGATCAGTTGTTGCCTGGGGCAAGGATAAAAGGTAGAAGGACAATAAGGGTCACAAAGGAACTTTTGGGGAAATGAAACTGTTGCATAATCTCACTGATACTGTGGTTCAAAGATATTTATGTATTTGTCAAAAGTCATAAACTTGTACACTTACAGTGCACAAATTTTATTGCAGCAAAAAACATACCTTGACAAAGTTGAATTTTTATAAAGTTTATAAATAAAATGCTCAAGAAGATGGTGAAAGAATGGATATTCTTCTGAGTAACCACTTATCCAAGGAAGAAGAAATAAATTTAGTTATTATCTACTTTGTGCCTTTACAAAACTTCGGGGTATCATGGATTCAGTAATCAAAGGATAAAATGAAATAATGAGAAAATATACTGAGCTGATTTAGTCCCTGTTTGCAACATATTTACTGAGCACTCTCCTGGGCAATAGGTGTGTAGTAAAAAGTAGACCAAGTACTTCTTAGGGACAAAAAGCATGAACATCAGGAGAAAAATATATGAAACAAATAGAATGTTGAAATGATGAAAAAACCAACAGAAGGGGTGCCTGGGTGGCTCAGTCAGTGGAGCATCTGATTCTTGATTTTGGCTCAGGTCATGATTTCACGGTTCATGGGATTGAGTTCCACGCTGGATTCTGCACTGACAGCACAGAGCCTGCTTGGGATTCTCTCTCTCCCTCTCTGTCTGTCCCTCCCCCACTTGTGCATTCTCTCTCTCTCTCTCTCTTTCTCTCAAAATAAATAAACTTTAAAAATATATTTAAGAAATAGAGCAGGGAATATGTATTATTAATGGTTCTAAAATAAAGGCTTTTTTCCTTTCTTCAGCAGTCTTTCAATGGGTCATGGTGTTATTATTTATTTACAATTTAATGTCTTTCTAAATAAAAAAAATTCTTAATTGAAACTACTAACATGAATTGTACCACTCATCCCTATACCGTACAATGCCAGTTTTAAATGCAAATATCAAAGCATTTAATTTAGCTTTATGCACAATCACTGAAATTACACAATTCATATGGCTTTTCCTTTGAGGGTGCTTTCAATCTGGCCAGGGGAGAAAAATACAAGTCAGACTCCAGAATGCAGGAAGGAGGAAGAGAGTTTCTCCAGGCATGGAGACACATGGGGGAGGTGGTGGGCCTATTTTGGTTTGTGTTCTGCTGTACTTGAAAAATGTGTATTCTGTGGTTGTTAGGTATAGTGTTCTATAATTGCCAATTACTTCAGTTTGGCTAATAGAAGTGTAAAAGGTCCTAACCAAACAAAAATAAATAAATAAAGGAATATGTGTAATAAAGAAAATTATCTCACACTGCTTTAGGTGACATTGTGCAAACATCTTCTGAACAATAACAAGTGTCAGGATTGTCATAACTCAATCCCAGATTAAAGCCAAGCAACTGCACAATACTGATAGTATATGACTCCAGGGATAAATCCTCTGGATACTAAAGACAAGGAAAAAGAAAAGAGTTAGCTAAGAATACTATAGTATACTATACTATAACAAAATTAAAATTACTATACTATAAAAAATTAGTGTATATTATATATATACTATTCTAAATACAATTATAGTAAAAAAATTAGTACATAAAACTCATTTTTTAAATCAATGCATCCAAGATGCCTATGTAAATGCAATTGTAGTAGAGTTATATAAACATTTGGATAATAGATTTATTAAACATAGATAAGTAAACACAGTAGTTTAATTTCAAAATACTATTCATGACAATATCAGCTATCTTAGCTAATCCAACTGAGTCTCAAACACCATATTATGTTGCCTCTTTGAGTTATTTTAAAGAAAATGACTTTAATCTTTTATTTTAATAATCAATTTTACATTCTCTCTCCAGTAGGCAGACTCTAAAATGAGTCCCAAAGATATCTACCTCCTGGTATTCATGTCTTTGAGTATTTCCATTCCATTGTGTGTAAACTGGACTTTTTGACTTGCCTCTAATTAACTAAATGTAGAGGAACAGATGGTTCACCATTTCCAAGACAGATTATAAAAAGACTGACTTTTTGGATTCTAGGTCTCAGTCTCTCTGTGGGAAGCCAGCTACTATGTCATGAAGTAGTCCTGTAGAGAGGCCCACAGGAATGAGTTTGGAAACAGATTTTCTGAGGTCTACCACAGCCAAATGACTAAGTTTGGAAGAAAATCCTGCCCATGCTGAACCATGAGATAACCCTGTCTGCTGCTCCTCAATTGTTGACCCACAGAACTCTCTTGTTTTTATCTCTTTAAGTTTTGGCATAATTGGTTACATAGCAATAGAAAACCAAAACACCCTCAATAGGTATATTGTTCATCTTTGGATAGTTTCCAATTTCTACACAAAGATGTTTCCAGAAGCTTCATTCATAATTCCCAAAACTTGCAAGCAACCACAATGTCCTTCAGTAGGTGAACAGATAAACTGTGGCACATTTTAGACAACAGAATGTTATTAAGCACTAAAAACAAACGAGCTATCAAGTCATGAAAAGAAATGGAGGAAGCTTGAGTGCATATTATTAAGTGAAAAAAGGCCAATCTGAAAAGGCTACATATTGTAGAATCCAACTGTATCACTTCCAGAAAAAAACAAAATTGTGGAGACAATAAAAAGCTCTGTGGTTGCAGACAGGGAGGGGAGAAATTAATAGGCAGAACACAGAGGATTTTTAGGGGAGTGAAAACACTTGTTATAATACCATAAATGATAGATATCTATCATCTTTTGCCCTAACTTATGTACAACACCAAGACTGAACCCTCAGGTAAACTATGGACTTTGGGTGATTTTGATGGGTCAATGAGGTTCATCCTTAGTACAAAAATATCCCATTCTGGTGAGGGATGTGGATAATACAGAAGGCTGTGCATGTTAGGGACAGGAGGTATATGGGTAATCTGTGTACCTTTACCCTCAGTTTTGTGGTAAATCTAAAACTGTTCTAAAAAAAAATAGTCTTAAAAAAAAGTGATGGGTTCCTGATGACCCAGGCTAAAGCACTATGAACAGATGGCAAATAAAGAAGAGTTCAGAGAAGGCATCCATGATCCATGAAGACGTTTCTAAATTTTCCATCCCACAATATTGTGCTGGCTGCTTAATAGTTCAACTACAGACACTAAAGCAATCAACTGGTGCATCAGACATTTCAGTCCACCTTCAGAGAAAAGCAATTTCATTTAGTTGAAAACTGCTTGAACTCAAGCACCACCTTCTTCCTCCATCCAAGCTTTTCATCAGGAGCAGCTCTTAGGACAGTATACAATGACTTGCCAGGACATTCTGCATCCCCTCCAGAGTTATAGAGATCAATAATATTAACTAAGAAACACATTTCACTTCTAAGACTTCTTATACTTCTACCTGTGTTTCTCCCTTTTACTCATAATAAAATGTTTTCTGTGCTGTTTCACACAACTTATGCCCTACTATATAAAAGTCTTCTCTTTTATTACCCCTTAAATTTGGTAATGTATCAAACTGTATTAATGGGCTAATTGTATTAATGATGTATTTTATTTTATGTATTGTGATGCTTTAATATCTGGGGCTTTGCCAATGCTAGACTTCCCATCCCAGGGTTACCCAATTTCTTAAAATAGTAAACAACTTACCTGCAAGTGTATCTTTCATATGCAAATCAACGAACCTAGAGCCCATATGCCCTATCCCTTCTTTTATTAGGCTGACATACCCTAGGCCACTCTTCATCTGCCCAAACCACACCAGAGTTAACCACCAGACAACTAGGTACAGCCTCCATGCGAGAAAGACTGCTGAAATTATTTAAATGAGCCAATCCAAGACCTGCTTACCTTGCCTTACCCATTCCTCCCCAAAGAAACAACAACAGAAGTTTTTGTCCATGTTACCCCTTGCTGACTACACTGCCTGAACAATCTTGGTGCTTCCTTGTATGGTCCCTGCATGGTGTGCCTTCTGTTTCGAGGGAACTGTATGATAAACTTCTTCCTGCATGACAGTCATTTTTTTTTCAATATATGAAATTTATTGTCAGATTGGTTTCCATACAACACCCAGTGCTCATCCCAAAAGGTACCCTCCTCAATACCCATCACCCACCCTCCCCTCCCTCCCACCCCCCCATCAACCCTGTTTGTTCTCAATTTTTAAGAGTCTCTTATGCTTTGGCTCTCTCCCACTCTAATCTCTTTCTTTTCCC